GACTTCAGAACTGCTTGTTTCTTTGTCATGCTCGAATGAGTTTTCGTCACATGACATCGTTTTGCATACTGAGACGTAAAGGCGTTTCCGGTTCCGCTTTTTTTAACAAACCGGCTACTGGAACAATACACCAAAAAACTAAAATTTAAGGCGATAAAATTGTGCGATTTCAAAATGGATCTAATAAAATGGCAATTGAACTGAGTGGAGTGCAATTTTGGTCTGAAATCATACTTGTGATTTCAAATCGAATTCGCGCTGCGCGCTCGTTCGATTTTGAAATCACGCGTATGATTTTAGACCAAATTGCACTCCACTCAGTTCAATTACCATTACATATCACTCGGTGAAATAAAGTCTCCTCAAGTCGCCTAAAATCGCGTTAAGTCGCCTTTAGGACGTTCGCTCGAAAAATTTCCAACATTGATTTTTTTCTGAGACTTTTATGACTGTAAGATGATGAGATCTTTGAAGTGAAGTGTTCTCTGCCAAATACTGTTTAAGTGGACCTGTTAAGTGTATTTAGTCAACTGGTGAGGTTTCTTAGAAAACAAGTTCGCATTTAGCGACCATAGTTTCACGCGCCTTACAGCCGCAAGATGGCAGGATTCGATTTCCCGTGGACTGAAATCTTGTGAATTTTTTTTAACTTCCCACATGGATTTTTTGTTCATTTTTGGACAATGTGGAGATAATTGTAAATAAAATCTGTTTCTGGAAGGAAAAGTAGGGGTTACTGAACGTCCAAGATTGTTAAATATAGCCAAAGCTATAGCAATGGCCATCTGCCCTATCATTGTTCATTTTATTACTTAGCGTGCGCCCTCATGCATGACGTGGCTTGTGAATTTGCGTGCGCAGTAAGGATAGTCCATGGGCCAGGACCCTGGAAAGAGCCATTTGGTACCAAAAACACTAAACACTCATTTTTAACAACATTGATTCCTCTAGGTTATTTTGGTGTATGATAACCATGCCAAATGAGTAGCTCTACGAGGATTATCACGTGATTAAATGACGTCACTCGGTTTGGCTGAATAAGCAGAATTGGTAAAAAGATGACTAATAACAGTTAAATGCAAACCTGAAAATGTTACATACATCGATTTTTGGTTATTGCAAACTTCAAACGCAGTTTTTAGACCTAATTCCAATAACTTATATATCACTTATAGGTATTATCCCTGAATGGTTTCCATGGCAACACTTGTCAAATTATAAATATGAACAATAAGACGGAAAATGTGAAAAAAAAGAAAGTGCTCGTGTAAATTGCACTGGTTACTTTCGAACGCTCGTTCTAAACTACATTGACTCCTCTTGCTTAGTTTGGTATATGATAACCATGTCAAATGAGTAGCTATACCAGGCTTATCACGTGATCAGCTGCAAATGACTCGGTTGGGGTGAACAGATAGAACTGGTACAGATGTGATTACTACGGTCAAATACAAGCAAATGCAAATACAGTCATGTTACATACACTGGTTTTTAGTTATTGAAAATCTCAAACGTTTTCAGAGCTTATGTCAACAACTTATTTTTAACTTAAAGAAATTGTTCCTGGATGGTTTCCATGGCTAAACTTGCCAAATGTTAAATATGAATAATTATTCAGGATATAAGAAACTGCTTGTACATGTGTTACATTGATAATTAAAGTTAGATTTCTTCGTCTTCTTCGCTGTCATCTGAGACAAACTCCTCGATAGAATCTTCACATCTGTTGTCACAGTCTAATAGCTTGTACACATCCGTGCACTTCGAACCATTTTCCAGGCAACTGCAGGTAGGAAGTTGACATGGCCTTGTACACGAGCAAGTCAGTAGTTCTAGCAACGGCTGTAGGGGTTGGGTCACCGCTCATCCAGTCAATGGCAAAGTGATCACCGTCTTCGCGCCAGCCAAAAGCAATAGGGGTCGTGTCCCTTGGCAGCTTTGCAGACTTCGCTTCCAAGTGGCTGCTTGGAAGTTTGCGTGAGCCGCATGCTTGAACAAGCAGTCAACACAAGGTGGTAATTGGGCGGAGTCGATGTTACCCTTCTTGACACAGAATAACCTGTACCTCAGCTCATTAATGTTATCAGTTCCTGGTTGAAAGCAGTAGAGCTTACATGTAATCTCTTGAAGGCTCTGAAAAAGCAAATCTGATAGAACCCATTCCATCCCCAGCTGCTTGAACATTTCTTTGTAAGATGTCTGTTACTTGACAAGTCGTAGGGCTATTATCTTTTCCCTTCCAGCGAAGGCACTTACTGTATCACAACCAGTGAAAGTATGCATACCAATTAGGCATTTGCAAAGTTCTACTCCTACCGCTGCCACCACACTGGAGATACTGACATATCTAGTTCTTGTCTGCGCTCCACACTTGACATACATGGATGCCGAATGAAGCAATTAAACGCCAAGCAAAGCAAGAATACGTCTGTATCCTCTGAAGCCACAACCACCGTCTTGTAGCCCGATTTAACCACATGAGCTGCATGTAGAATAAGCCTGGTATCAGCTTCTTCCTGTGTGGAGTTGAGCTCTTCAACTATATTGGCAGCTGGTGAGCTAATCTCGTNCAGAATAACCTGTACCTCAGCTCATTAATGTTATCAGTTCCTGGTTGAGAGCAGTAGAGCTTACATGTAAACTCTTGAAGGCTCTGAAAAAGCATATTTGATAGAACCCATTCCATCCCCATCTGCTTGAACATTTCTTGGTAAGATGTCTGTTACTTGACAAGTCGTAGGGCTGTTATCTTTTCCCTTCCAGCGAAGACACTTACTGTATCACAACCAGTGAAAGCATGCATACCAATTAGGCATTTGCAAAGTTCTACTCCTACCGCTGTCACCACACTGGAGACACTGACATATCTAGTTCTTGTCTGCGCTCCACACTTGACACACATGGATACCAAATGAAGCAATTAAACGCCAGGCAAAGGAAGAATACGTCTGTATCTTCTGATGCCACAGCCACCGCCTTGTAGTCCGATTTAGCTGCATGAGCTGCGTGTAGAATAAGCCTGGTATCAGCTTCTTCCAGTGTGGAGTTGAGCTCTTCAACTATATTGGCAGCTGGTGAGCTAATCTCGTAACAGTCACTTTCGCATGTCACGAAAAGTGACCTTGCCTGTCAACTTTGTTCTGTATTAATCCCGTCTCCACCCCTTTACCACAAACTGTGAGAAGGCCTTTTTATTTTTTGGATTCAAAAGGAATTTTCTCCACTGCTGCAGCTTGTGTTCGGATGCG